ATTGCGTAACAAACAAATGACGGTATTAACTCGATCAATCGTTTCATGTCGTTTCATGTCATCCACCGAGTAGTTAATGGACTACATTTATCGATCCAAGGGCTGAAACGGTCGCAATACGATTTCCAGATCCGGTACTATGCTGTCAAAGATGAATCGCACGAGCTGTAAGTCTGATTCGTTCACTTCGCAGGAATCGATCAGCCCGGTTGTTCAAGGGCCCTCTGGACCAGCTTACAGCAAAATGCACTTATTTACACACCAAGTTGGTAGTAAGTTTGGTACGCAAGGCATATTTTAGTTCATGTGAGCATCCAAACATGAGTGATCTCAGTATGGCTAATTCTTAGGTAACATAACAAGCCCAGGTGTGACTGCCGCCAATCTTTGTCTGAGTTTACGAAAAATTATAGTTAATGGTAGTTCGCTGCCTAGTTGCCATGACAACCGAAGGGATTGCGAGGGTTGAGATTCTGCCACGTGTCCGGAGGCCAGCCGTCACTAATAACTGAACATCACATCATTTGGACGGATGTGTCACGTGAAGGACACAGACCAGATGGAGGCATGTCCTGATTGGTCAGAATGCCAGCCAATCCGAGTCGAGCACCTTTGACTCGACGCTCCTCGCCCCCTCACGAAAATTCTGGCACGACGTTGTGGACCACCCTGTGACTACCCTATAAATACAGTTGTAAGAATTTTCATTTGTCTCCATAAAGGGCTGTCTAGAGCCACCGTGCCTTTTGATACACCATAGTGGGCGGAGCAGGAAGCTAAGGGACCGGTACAGAGTTGCACTGCCGTTCAACAGGACACAACACCACTTTGGCCAGGCCTAGACAAGAGAGCGATTATTGCTTACGCAGTCGTTTTGACACACCGTACGGTGCAGCAGGCCCTAATCAAAATGAAATTTTTCTTTTATCTGTTTACGACTCAGAATGGATGAGTTCTAAGTTTCGAACCTCTTCCTGAGTGTTCATGGTCGTTGGACCACTTTTATCATCCTTTGTTTGAACGAGGGAAATATGAAAACAAAACTTTTACTGACTAACCCGTGGGTTCTCACTTCGGAATGTTCTTTACTTAGGGGCCTGTTGCTAATGGAACTTAATCCGTTGGAGAATTTCCAGCATGATGGTCTAACTTAACTTAGTATTACTGTATCTCAATACGTTCAATCAATTCTCGCAACTAACCGATTCAAAAAGTGACTTTCCTACAGATCACTTCAATACGAATTCTGACTTTGTTTCACTGAAAGTCAGCTGCGAGTTCCTGGTACATAAATTTGGGTAAGAAGATGCGAAAAGGCACACCTGCAGCAACAAAGAACTATTGTGCAAGACTTCTGATAGAGTACTTTGGATCAGATCCTCGCTAGAACCCTCAAAAGATGAAAGTATAAAACCTGCTGAATGCTGCCGCCGTACAAACCATTTGCGTACTTTTTAAGATGACGCCAACTGGATTGTGGGTTTTCAGAAGCACAGTTAACAGTGGGTAGAACACCACAAATTTTATTTCGTAGTATTTTATTGCTCCGTTTGTAGGCTGCTCATCAGGGCAACTCATTCAAACAAACCAATGTGGCTGTAGATAGGAAAGCGAATGACCAAAGATAATACCGTTTATTCACGTGCTATTCAGCAAGGTGATATTAAACTAATTAATCTCTTGTGGATAACTTCCAAGAACGTGTTCGGTGTTCCAAAAAGTATTCTTCAGGAGATCAGTAACGTACAATTCAGTAGCTGAGTTAGTTACCAAAGGCTTCTGAAATACAGATATGTCAAATTTGACGAGCACCAGATTGCAATCCATTGAGGACATCTTCTCTAGTGGGATACTTTTTATGAAAATGGAAGTTGGGTACCGGGGTTAGTCGTTGACAGTAATTCTCTGTTTTATCTCCTCAGAATATTGGTGAAACGAAAAACCCGGAAACACTAAGTCGAGTATATTCAACGCTAAAAAGATTCCCTAACAAATTCTCGTGAGCATGACGAGTTCTGAGTATGTGCACGTTCGGCAACTGGTACCAAGTGGGCACCGTAAGTAGCTGGTTGTTGGATCCATGTGATTGGTCGACCGAATGTCAGGCCGACTCTACCAACTCGTTGATTCAACCAATCACGTACGAGTATAATTTTCTGAACGTTGCACTGCTTAACATTACTCAGCTGGGTTGTTTGGCTGCAGGTTTCCATTCAATAATTATCTCAAAAGTAGATAGGACACAAACACTGAGATGACAGATTTGTGTTGCGTACCACCATTCTGTTACGTTCTCTTGAACACAATCAAACCCCGTCTTATGATTGGTTTGCATTCAAATAGGACAAAGCCTCAGTCATTCTTCATTCACGAGACCCACATCACGTGGTCGCGTGTTAACCGGCTGCGCGCACAGAGGTTCAACTCTTTGTGTGAACTATATTCGCCCTCAAGAAATGCGATTGGATGAAGATTCCAGGATAACATAGTCTTACAATGCTTTTAAGCAAAGATTAGCTTCACCAACATAGTAGAATCTTCATGTTTAAATTTTTCTTTTAAAATTCAGCGGAACCTTAACTTTATATAATTTTCAATATTACTGAAAGCATTTTATTAGGGTGAGTACGTAAACAGTTAGGTTTTTCAGACAAATGGATACAAAGATCCGGTTCACAGCAGGCCAGATATGAAAAAAACCCAAAAGTTGAACTTTTTGTAGACTGAGCTTCGCTTCCAAGAAGTTATCACGAAAACTGCATAGTATCCAGGGCTGGTCACTAATGCCAGTGCCCACGGAACAGAATCACCTTTTTGGTTTCCCAGATTTCATTTATCTGTCCTCGTCAACATTGTTTTAAAGCTCTTGAGGCCATCTACAAGTTTGCGACCAAATTCGCCTCCAACGAGTATGTCACTTAGTCGGGATATCGCGTTAGGAGACAAATAAAACTAGCAGAACTCCATCAAGTATTTCTTCTTGTTTGTGGGTCTGTCGTGTAGGCAATAGTAATCTAGAATGACTTGCACCTGCATTTTCATCTTGTTACGCGGAATTCCACACGAATCTCGCTTTACTGCTCGCAGTTAGCTGCTGCTATGGCTGAGAAACCTATCCCGCACTAGATTGGCCAAAAGTTTGGGACGCTTGCCAGTCCGGCATCAAGCCGAGATCTGATTGGTCGAAAGCCTGGACCCAACAGCCAATCATGACCCAGTATTGGCCAGATGTTGGCTGCCAAAGGCGTATCCAGAAGGCGTCAGAATTTCCAGAGGGTTGTTACCGCTAATACTATTTGTATGAAGCGTTGTACAAGTGTTCTTGACTTCGTTTTGGGCATTAATATATGTTGTGCACATTTATTCCTTGTTTTGACTTGAACGCTAACTTAGTGGGCTCAGACCGAGAACTAAGCGGAGAAAAATACAGTTACTACGAGACTGCTGTTAAATATTTTGTGGAAGTAAACTGATCTTTTTCAAGTAAGACAAAGCTTGACAACAAAAGTTTTGAAAAAATCCACAGAGTCTACTCACTTCCATCAGTTTGATGAGCGTCCGAATTCCATGAATCATATTCATTGACATTGCTTTTAGGCTGTCATTTATGATCAACTCAAGAAGTGACTGATACAGTGTACGGTCTGCGAGTTCCATAAAATGACAAACTCTGCTGTCTTCGCACAACGTGATCATCTGTTCTTTTGGCAGTTGGTTACTGTAAGTTGTACTCTGAAAACAGAGAGTTTAAATTGATTTTGAAAGTGCAGACGGGGACGAGTAATTATGTCAATCCGACTCAAAACCTTCCAGTCCCTAAAACTGCTTATATGGCTCCTTGAACGTTGTCATAGTAACCAGTGAGATATGTTCGCTCCCGGCATGAACTAATTCATTCCAAAACAAAAAGTATTTTACAAGAGTATGTCTGCGACCTGGAATATTTGAACCAATTCACAGATACCAGATACCAATGCTAGATATAATTCTTAGAAACCGTCTGCGTTTGACGTCATTCGAAGGGTCACGCAATACCATCCTACAGATTTTGTATCGGGATCAACTCTGTACAGATTAGAGTACCCTAAACTGGTTGCATAACGATCAACTTCTGTTTTATCTCGAACAATACTAAAGGTATTAAAGTATTGCCCTTCACAAGGCAGTGCTCATAATTCCTATGAAAATCTTGAGCAGACTACTGCCTGGTTCGTTAGTATTGACGCCCATCATACACTGACATAGTCTTGGAATTCCCACTGGCATACACATACTTGCATATCAATCTGGATTTTACAAGGGACACAACTGAAACCAATAAATCTCCCACTTTTGATGATCCGCTTTAGTTGAATGTGCCGGGTTTAAGCAGAAAAAGATTGGCGGAAACTCGGGGACTGCGTTTATCTGTTTGAAGGTTATCAGCAACCTTATGCGTAGTGTGTTAAGTTTGATTCTACAACGTATCGCGATATATCGAGTACCGTACGAACTGAAAAATGAAGCGGCCTGGTGTGGCGTACTTAGGTGATTCAAGCCATTACAAGCAGGAATCAGTTGAATCTCCCGTGAAAACCAAGTCTGTTTGAAAATGAATGTATCTGTCACAATCTGTCCAATTTGAGTTCAGGTAGAACGTAGGGTTGGGAGGAACTTGGAGACTGTGCTAATCTGTTGAGTCCTAAGAAGGAAGAAAACCTTCGTCAGCTGTTGATGTGTTCTTAGCAATCTGACGAGTAGTGCGTAAAGGCTATTTTTTCTTCCGAAATTCTGAATTTCTGACATTCTTTGCGCTTTCGTGTATTTAGCACAGAAAACCAGTGCGTACATAATAAAATACGCATGTCAGGATAGTTGACGGACTACACAGTCTCACTGTGACTGATTTTGTTCTGGAATACCTGTCCTCGGAATGGAAAGCCTTTAGCGCTCCCTGTAAACCGAATTTTGCTAGTGACGAACTACCATAAATGGCGGTCACTTAAGGTGGTCTCCTCAAGGACCACTGTAGTAGCTGCTTCGGTGTGTCAGACAGTTTGCACGTGTGTGTGTCCGTTCGTCGTTGCACCATCGATCTGGCGTGTGACTTGAGTGGCTGATTGGGTGACTGTCCGATCGATTTGCTCGCGTGACTGGGTTGTGGGTTGACTGGATATGTGACTCAGCTGTTTGCTTACCCGCTACGGAGGTGGACCAGTTAGCCCCGCGTGTTTTTCTGACTTATTGTGGACTACAATAACCAACAAATGTACTAGGTAATTCTAATTCACCGCTTCTAGTCAGAAGCTACTGAAAGAAGGACAATCCTGCAACTGTAGTCGCAGTAAATTTGAGTTTGTGCTAGCCCACTTACAAGTTGTCGGCCTCCAGCTTCTCTTCGTTTTCTTTTAGTTTTGGATTTCATCGTATGAAGGTGATTAGATCACACACTTGACCGTATCCAATTTACGAGCATCAGCACCAAAGATTCGGTTGCCTTGTTAACTAACAGAAACGATAGCCATTTTACAGTTCTGCCGTTTCAATTAGGGCTCCCTTTCACTTCATTGGTTCTACGCACAAACTCTGTGTTACTTAGGGTCCCGGAATATTCCTCTTGGACATGCTGCCATCGTGGAGACTTTGATGAACATGGAACTCACGGTATGATATCTACGACCGAGCATAGCTGGTTGTCATGTGAACCCAGCTCAGGTAACATTTAGTTACAAAGCAGTATGATGCCAGTAAATCCATACCTGTCCTTCAGCTGAGCGCCAAAATTGCTGCCAGCAGGTGCGTATTCCTTCAATTCGTAGATTCAATATGCAGGAGTAAATTTTCTCACAGTGCGATTCATACAGTTTGACAAATTGTGCCACAGTTTTGGACGTTACAACTGGATGCGTTGTGTTTCTCAGATCCGGTTCGTATTCGTAAGGTTCGGTTTTGATGTTGCAAGAGAATAAATCTGTGGGGATTGTTGGCAAAAATGCATTTTTAATGATCGTTTAAGTTAAGACCAGAAATAAGTGGGTAGAATCAAACTTGGAAAGTCTATCCATTGATTTCGTGGGCGAGTGTATGGATTAATCCACCAGGAATTCGTAAACCACAACAAATTCCCGCTTAAAACTTTCGCGCTACCACTGCGCAGTTTCAGAGGAACGACAATCTGGGAGGCTCCCTTGCAAAAGGAGATGTTTTCATCCCGTGTCAACACTTGTTTCGCACTAACATTACGGGTTCTTGCAACCAAACACTGCTTGTCTGATTGGCTTAGTCAGCAGAGATTGCGTTTGTTCTATTTTGAAATCTAAAGGCGTGTCAGGTGAGCTGTTTTACCAACTCATAGCCAACTTGGGTACAAACGATTGAGTTCGAATCTATAAGGAAGAAACTAAGATGTTTGCTTCAAATGTTTCCTCAGAGCCACTCTCATTCTCGATGCTTTCTAGTGTCTTACTTGACTGAATAATGTTGTTGGTCCTCAGCGGCTCTCTTGGAGTACCAGTAGATCTTACCGTTTGCATTAGGACTCTTGGTTACACAAACGATATTGGTTAACGGTCTCCAACTTTAATTTTTTTTCAATCATCAAGCATTTCCGGTTAGACTGGAAGTAAGTCCAATAAAAGAGGATTTTTCATCATCACAGTGGAGGATGTCCAGCCTTCCTCAGTTGGTTTTAACAGAGAGCCAAAAATAGGTTGAGCCCTTAAAAAAATTTGGTTCCATCAGTTTCGAAACGGTAGAGCACGAATCAGCAACACAAAGGAAACGTTAATACATTTCTGTTGAAAAACTCGGTTATAACTCTTGAAATGAAGTTGAGTGAGTACACTGTGGCCTGTTGATCCCTACTAACATAAATCTAAGAGAACTGGAATCTACCGTCTTTCGAGGAAGCAAAAAGCATGATCAATAGTCTTTAAGGTTATTAGGAGAACCAGTTCCGAACGTAACGAGATTACATAACAGCCAATGGGATAGCCGTTTTCGTTGAGACAGATTTCATTGGTTGTTCTTCACTCGTCCTTGACAGATGAGCTGTATCACTTTTCTGACCCGCTTGTTTGCGACAGTGATCAATAGATCAGCCGGTTCGCACGTTCATTGACTTTTTCTGGTTTGGCCAAGTGCACTAGGCGATCAGGCGGCTATCCAGACCGGGGTTCACGGTAATAAGAAGGCGTTAAGGGACTGTGGTCCACAACAACGGTAAATACTCAAAGTACTGTGAAAAGAAAATAATTTCATAATGGTTTCCCGGACCGATTTGACCCAGCAATGCATACTAAAGTGACCGAAACGCGTCTTCCGTTAACAAAACTCTAAGGTACTTGAAGTTCCGCTGTCAACGCTTCCATGCCCAGAATGGTGCGACGATAAATGAAAATCTTTTTGTGAACGTTGATTTGCTTCGTCTGCGGGCCGTCTAGGGAGTCAAAGAGTGGAAAATAAGCCGGTAAACTTTGTATTCCGACCTTCTTGCCGATAGTGTAACGTATGCAGCAGTAATTCGGGAAGTGTTTTGGGCAGTATATTCGTTTCACCGGGTGAAACTAGCCGCAACTCAACGTAAAAGTCAATGCAGACATTTTCTCGACTCCACTTAAGTTGGAGTGTCTTGCTAATATTGATTATCCTGTCAGACTGATAGTAATGTGGGGATATTTTTGGAATTTTGATTGAGTTTCCGCCCTGTAAGTGAGGGCCACTGGACAGCTAGTTTGTCTTAACTTTAAATACTCGGCATTGCGCATCTCACGAGACTGTAATGGAGAGTTTATGAACTGTAAACTGCTGAATAGTAGTTTGAATAATTAACTATTCGGCCACGGCCAGAGCGCTACAAATCTTTCAATCACGGAAAGCACGTCACGTGGTCAAGCATTGATTAGATTATCGAGTGACGACTACTCAGAATGTGGCTTTCTTCATCTCTCGAAATGGTTCCGTTTACTTCAGGATGGCTGTTGCTCTATCCTGTTTGAGTGCGACTTATTCTCATTACTGATCATCTTACTATATGGGATGCCACGGATCTTAATATCCCCTGCGTTTCATGAGTTGTGCACTGCTGAAGATGGAACGGCTGTTCACTGATTATAGGCATTTTTGCATGAACTGGCTTCACTGTTAGGGTGAAATATTGATTAAATCTTTGAAAGCTTTTCATGCAACCATCAAATTGGTGGCGGTGCTTCAGTAAAAGGCAGTCTCTCTCTCACTTCACTGATTTTAATTGGCAAATAAACGCCCATTGTTTCAGTGGAAAAAAACAGTTAATGGGTACTTTCGGTTCACTTGTTGTAATCAGCAGCTGATCCTGCCATTTCAGACAGTAAATCCTCAAGGAAAGCCTTTGGATCAATCGACACAACTGGTGAGATGCCTTTTCAATCACGTTTACTTGAGTAGAAAATTCTGGTCAGCTAATAGTATTCTAATGGTCAGCCAGAAGTTTCTAGCCGAATCCCCTTAGTTCGAGTGGATCAAGTCCCCTATCAGTGGCTTGAAACGAATACGGCTAATTTTATTGCTAAAATATGCTTTGTAACAGAAAACGTATGGTGCCCAGCATCATACAGTGGCAGTATATATAGCATATATAGTATGTAGTGTATATATAGTGTAGTATATGTAGTATAGTATACAGTATATAC